AGGTCGGGGGTTTTAAAATAGAGTTAGGGGAAAAGAAGGAAAAAATAATGTTAAAGGGAAAAAGCTTGGCGGGAAAAGGGGGACTACAAATTAAAAAATTATAAATTAAAGGGATTATGGGATAAAAAAAAGTTTTGGAGGAAAAAGGGGGGTTATAGAAACGGTATCACCGGGAGAAGAGAAAAGTGTGGGGAGAGAGAGAGTTTCGGGGGAAATGTTGAGTGAATGCGGGGGGATTTTGAATAAAGTGTGGAGTAATGGGGGTTGGGATTTAAAAGCTAAGTGGTAAAAATTTTTATGGGGGGAGTAGTAGGGTAATTTTGGGGTGCCGGGGGTAAAGTAAAGGGGGACCTTTTAATTGAGCTATGTGTAAAGAAAGTTTTGGGAAATGAAATACTTATTTTATAAAAAAGGGGATAAATAAATAACAAGGATGAGTACACGTAATAAAAATGTTTGTTGATTTGATTGGGGGATAAAAGGTGAGGGGTGGGCCCAATGTCATGTTTATAGGGGGGCAACTGATATATCGATCTTTATTTAGTTGTAGCTACAGTTGAGTAAGGGGGAGTGGGAAAAGGGGAAGGTGGCAAAAAACAATAAGAGAGAGAAAAAGTGTATAAACTAAAGGAGGAGAAGTTGGGCGAGATAAACGCTTTTGGCAAAAGGGGGGTAGTGCAAAATGGTAGGGGGGGGGTTTAAGGGGTTTGGAAAATATTTTAAAAAGCGTATTAGAATGTGGGGCAGAAGTTTTGGTTATAGGGGGGGGGGGGCGGGGAAGAAAGGGAGTGATTGGGGGAATGATGAAGTAAAGGGTGTATAAAAAAGAAAAAGGTAGTTTACGAGGGGTTTTTACAAAGAGAATGTTTAAAAGAGCAGAGTATATGGAAGTAAAAGAAATGAAGAGAGTGGTGAAGAGTGAAAAAAGGAAGCAAAAAGAATGGGAGGGCCTGTCAAAAAATTTCAATGAAAAATAAAAAAAAAATTTTGAGTGATTTTAAAAAATTTAAAGAAACCTGGGGAAAGTAGATTTGTCGTTAAAAACAGATGGGGGAGTTAGTTTTTGGGGAAGGGAGGTATTAGGTAGATGGGGGAATATTTTGGGAAATTTTTAAAGTTAAGGAAGAAAGGGGGGCGGTAATTTCATCACGGCCGGGGAGGTATCCCATCTTTTGGGGAGTGAAGAAGAGCAGACGTAAGTGGGGGGTACGTGAGGCATTACTAAATAAAGGGGGTTTTAAAGCACTGGAACTGAGGGGATCAACAGAAATTTAAAAGCGGGGGGGAATAGTTTGGAGGGGTTGGGACTTTTGGTTTAAAAAAATGTATAAAGGGGGGAAAGGTACCGGGGGATGGCGGGAGAGCTTTATGTCCCTTTATATAAAGGGAAAGGGACAAAAAAATTGTAAAAATTAGAGGGAAAAGTTTACAGGGGATACCAGGGAAAAATATACGGTTTTTGGGGTTTAATTGAAAAAAGAAAATAAGACAAATTTGAATTGCGGGCGAACAAGGAGGTTTTAGATGGGTAGGGGTGTGTAGATCAAGTGTTTTCATTGAAGCATTAAGGAACGTATTTAAAAAGGAGGGGAAATTTTTTTTTGCATTTTAGGATTAGAAAAGGGATATGTAGAGTGGGTAGAGGAGCAATTGGCAGATGTTCAAGTATATGAATAGTGGTAAGTTTTTAATGCTGTAAAGAGCTTTTATGAGTATGACTCAGTTTGGGGGTGTGAAAAAGGGGGGAGAATACTTTCCCGAAAAGTAAAGGTCTTAGAAGGGGTGTGTAATGTCACCGGTTTTTAATAAAATTTATAGATGGGGGGGTAAAGAAGAAATGCTAGGGTGTTAGGAGAGGGGTGGGATTAAATTATGGGGAATCAAAATTTAAAAAAGGGGAATTACACAGTTTTCTTTTTGCTGATGTCTGGCTTATGGGAGATTCTAAAGAAAAAAGCAAAGGTTTGTGGATGAGTTTTTAAATGTGTGTAAAGGTAAAAGTTAAAATGAACATAAAAAGAGTAAGGGGGATGAGGGGACAAATGATTTAGATAAAGAAAAATTGGATATCAAATTGGGGGGAGGAGTAGGAAAAATGAATGTTTCAGAACTTGGGGGTTGCTGTCGGGGGATGGATTTATGAAGGATGGGTTAATCATAATTGATGAGGGAAAAAAGGGGAGTGGTGCGTTTGAGGTATATGGAGCAAAAAACTTATCTATGGAGGGAAAAAAGGAATGTATGAAATAAGTATACCAACACTCTTATATGGATGTGAAAACTTGGTGGAAAGGGGCACGAGGAGACGGGGGAGGCAGTGGAATTTTTCTAAGGGGAATGTGTGTGTAAAAAATATGCAAAAATTCAAGTGGGAAATTAGGAGAAGGTGGGGGTTAATAAAACATTACAGAGGCAGAAGAGGGGTTTTTTGAGGGGTTTGGTCATTTAGGGAGAAAGGATCAAAGTAGAAAAGAATGGAAAGCATATAAATTATAGGGGGGGAAAGAGGGGGAGGGGGCGTCCCGAAAGGGTTGGGAAAAAGGGGGGAAAGGGGGTTTTTTTGGGTGAGGGGCTTTGGACTTCTAGCAACGGCATGACGTGGTAGATAGGAGTGAAGGAGACGAATGATACTGGGGGCCTGACGATCGTTGGGGGTGAGCGGGGAAAATTTAGTGAAGGGGTTCAGGGAAACCGGGGGATTTTCAATAGTCGGGTTGAGTCCTGGAAAAGGGGAAGTACAAAACCGCACTTTAAAGGAGGGGGTTTTGGGGTTTGGGGTTTGGGGGGATATGTTGTGATCTCTTTCGTTATGCTTCAAACGTTTATTTTGAACCCTGCAAAAACTGATAATGTGTGAGTGTGGGAAATGTTGAATGTATGAAAATATTTTCTTTTTGGGGATTTTCTTCTTTTTTTTTTGGGGCACCCCGCCCCGGGGGAGAGACCGACTTTTTTGAAAAAAAAAAAAAAAAAAAAAAAAAAGTTTATTAGTAAAACCGAAAAAATACGGTAAATTATAATTGAAAGAATTGAGGAAGACGAATGTAGAATTGCGGAGACAAGGAGCTCAGAGTGGGTAGAGGGTGTGAGTCAATGTTTCTTGAAACTATATGTAACATATTTAGTAAAGGGAGGAATTTTTATTCATTTTGGTTAGAAAAGGCAATGAAGAGGGATAGAGGAGCAATGGGCAGATGTTTCAATTTATGGAATAGGTGGGGAAGTTCTAAAGCGTAAAGAGCTTTTATAGGAAGGAGGCTCAGGTTTTGGGTGTTAGAAGAGAGGGGAAAACTTCCTAAAAGTAGGTCTTTGACAGGGATTGTAATGTACCAGGTTGTTTTAAAATTTTATGAGGGGTTGAAAAAAAAGTAAATGCAGGGTGTTGGGAGAGGGGGTGGGATTAAATTATGGGGAAACAAATTCAAAAGGAATTGACACGTTACTTTTTTTGGGATACTGTGCTTTTGGGAATTTTAAAGAAAAATTGCAAAGGTTATGGATAGTTTGGAATTTGTAAAGGAAAAGTTTAAAGTGAAAAAGAAAGATAAAAGGGATGGGGTATCAAAGATTGTAAAGAAAAATTGGATATCAAATTGGGGAGGAGGGTTGGAAAGTGAATGTTTTAGATACTTGGGAGTTGACCTGGTCGGCGGATGGATTTTTTGAAAGGGTGAGGGAACTGAATTGAAAAAAAAAAAAGGTGAGTGGGCGTTGAGGGATATGTGGGGTCAAAAACTTAAACTATGGAGGGAAAGAAGGGAAAGTATGAAGTAAAGTAGTACCAACACTCTTATAGGATGGAACGGGGGGTAAAATGCGCACGGGAGACGGTTGGAGGCATTTTAGATGTCCGTTAAAAGGGGGTTGGGTGTAAAATTATGCAGAAATTCAGAGTGTGGGAAAATTAGGAGAAGTGGGGGAGTTAATAAAAAACATTTGTCAGAGGGGAGAAGAGGGGGGTTTTTGAGGTGGTTTGGTCATTTAGAGAAATGGGTCAAAGTGAATGCATGGAAAGCAATAAATCGAGGGGGAAGAAAGAGGGTAGGGGGCGCCTCGAAAGGGTTTGAAAAGGGGTAAAGGGGGTTTTGTGGGCAGGGGGTTGGGTTCCCGCAAGCTCATGAGCGTTTAGATAGGAGTAATGGAGACGAAGATACTTTTACCTAGATCTGTTGGAGGGGAGCGGGGAATATTTTGTGAAGGGGGTTCAGGAAAACCGTTTTTTTTTTATATAGTCAGACTTAGTCCGGAAAAGGGGAAAAAATGCCGACTTTAAAGGGGGGGTTTGGGAATTGGGAGTTTGGAGGGGTATGTTGTGTATCTTTATACTAATTCTTTTAAAGTTGTATTCTGGGGACCCTCTGCAAAAGCAGTGAAAATTGGAGTGTGGGTGAAAGTGTTGAAAGATGAAAATATTTCTTTTTGGGGGGTTTTTTCTTTTTGGGTCACCCCCGCCCTTTTGGGGGGAGACGACCGACTTGTTTAAAAAAAAAAAAAAAAAAATTTAGTCGAGTACTTTTTAAGTTTTAATGAAAAATTTTTAAAAAAAACCGATACAGGCAGGCCCTGCTTAACAGCGGTTAGGTTTCCGACTTCTGCTGTAAATGAAAAAACACTGTAAAAAATGAAACATAGCTTTTTTTTTTTTTACTGTCAAAGGGATTAAAATCCTAATATGTTTAACATCTATATTTTTTGAAATAAAACAGGGTTAAAAAATGCATATACATTATTTTTCGACTTTCCCTTTAAAAATATTTTGTCCTTAGCTTATATGGTGGGGAATGTATATTTTTGTGGGGTCTGAATAAAAAAGATGGGTATAATTAAAACACCCTGCATAGTGAAATCCGTAAAGTAAGCCCGTAAGGGGGGGGCCGCCCTATATTAGATCCTTCTTGCTATTTTTAGATTTTCTGATACCCATTTTTACTTTTATTACATTAGGTGTGAAGGCATTTTTCATGTTTTTTTCCCTTTTATGCATTGTTTTTTTTCCTCAGTCCCTCAATACTCCTTTGATGAACATGACCAAACTGTTTCGAATACACAAGACATACATGGGCTTCGATCGGCGTACTACAGCCATTGCATGGCATCCAACAATTCCAAATTTAGTAACTGTGGGATCAAAGGGTGGAGATATTATTGTGTGGAACTTTGAGAGAGATGGAGGTGATCCAAGAACAACTTTAGTTGGGGTAAGTTCCATTGGGGTGTTATGATTAATTTTATATTGAAATAGTCATGTATGTATTTTCTTGAAAATAATAATAATGTGCTTTTAGCTCTTGTTTGCAAATAAATTAATAAAAATATAATAAGCTTGTCCTTTCACCTAGATATTTTTATAATACAGTTACATTGATAGATGTTACAAGCCATTAGAAGGAATATTTTTTGCATGTTAAATTTATTGTTTCTTGTGTAGAACTAAAGAAACTAAGTTTTAATTATGATTTTATGAATAAAGTAGCTTGATGGTACAGTGGAACCTCGGCTTACGAACTTAATCCGTTCCGTGACCTTGTTCGTATCCTAATTTGTTCATATGCAGAGTCAATTTTCCTCATTTAATTTAATTGAAAAGCCATTAATCTGTTCCAGTGGAATTCCTGCTCTCAGAGGCAGGAAAAATACACTTCAATATAATGCTAATATCAACTCTACGGCTTATTTATCTATCACAATTGATCTAATATGACATAATAAACAATATAAATAACATAGAAACTTGATAAATACTCTAAAATGAATAATATATGTCAAGAATCACCGAGACAAGCATCTCCTTAGTAGACCACATCTGGACAAACACCATATCCCCTTTAAAATCAGGCATAATCACAGACAACACTACAGACCACTACCCAACCTTTCTCATAACTAATCTGGGCAAACTGCCACAACACATTACTGAAGTAACCTTCAGACTACATAACGAGACAGCAGTTAACAACTTCATAGCAGCTATGAATAACATCGACTGGCAAAGTGAGATTGAAACATATACAGATATGAATGAATGTATAAATAATTTTCTAAAAAAAAGCCCAAAGCCTTTATAACAAACATTGCCCCCAAAAAACTAAGCAGATCACAGCAAACAGACTGAATAATCCCTGGCTAATACCAAGCATCCTCAAATCCATTAACACAAAGCTCAAATATGAAAAACAGTATAGAACGGGTCAAATAACTAGAGAACAGTTTAAAGGTTACTCATCAGCACTTACCAGCCTGATAAGAAGATTTAAAAAATTGTATTATGAAAATAGATTACATAACATCAACAGTGATATGAAAAAACCCTGGAAAACTCTATTTGAAATTCTTGGAACTAAAAAGTTATCCAAAAAAAAACAATCAAACTAACAAAATCAGATGAACCCCTACTCACGCCTATTGAAACAGCGAACAGACTCAGTGTTTTCTTCTCCACCATAGGAAAAAATCTAGCGAACAAAACACCAAGCGCAAACACCCGTCCATCAGACTACCTCATAGGTACCTACCCAAATACGCAAAAAGCTTCTCAAGTATTGTCACCAATTATTGCAATACTCTTTAACAAATCCATTGAATCATCTACCTTCCCAACAATCCTCAAAATAGCGAGGGTCACTCCGATCCACAAAGGAGGTGACCAAGCTGACTTGAATAGCTATAGACCAATATCTAACTTACCACTGCTCTCTAAAATCTTTGAAAAATTAATTCATAGATGGATCTATTCCTACCTCGTCTCACACAACATATAAACCCTTGTCAGTTTGGATTCAGGAATAATAAAAGCACAAATGATGCTATCATACACATGCTAGAACTAATATATACCGCACTCGAAAAGAAAGAAGTCCCGCTGGGCATTTTCATTGATTTATATAAAGCTTTCGATACAGTCGACCATGAACTGCTGTACAACAAATTAACGCACTATGGTATCAGAGGCCACTCCCTCAACTACCTAAAATCATACCTTAGTACAACTCAATATTTTATTTTTATTTTATTATCACACCGGCCGATTCCCACCAAGGCAGGGTGGCCCGAAAAAGAAAAACTTTCACCATCATTCACTCCATCACTGTCTTGCCAGAAGGGTGCTTTACACTACAGTTTTTAAACTGCAACATTAACACCCCTCCTTCAGAGTGCAGGCACTGTACTTCCCATCTCCAGAACTCAAGTCCGGCCTGCCGGTTTCCCTGAATCCCTTCATAAATGTTACTTTGCTCACACTCCAACAGCACGTAAGTATTAAAAACCATTTGCCCTCCATTCACTCCTTCAAACACGCTCACGCATGCCTGCTGAAGTCCAAGCCCCTCGCAAAACAAAACCCCTTACCCCCTCCCCCAAACCCCTTTCCCTAGGCCGACCCCCTTCCCCGCCTTCCTCCACTACAGACTGATACACTCTTGAAGTCATTCTGTTTCGCTCCATTCTCTCTACATGTCCAAACCCACCTCAACAACCCTTCCTCAGCCCTCTGGACAACAGTTTTTGGGAATCCGCACCTCCTCCTAACTTCCAAACTACGAATTCTCTGCATTATATTCACACCACACATTGCCCTCAGACATGACATCTCCACTGCTCCAGCCTTCTCCTCGCTGCAACATTCATCACCCACGCTTCACACCCATATAAGAGCGTTGGTAAAACTATACTCTCATACATTCCCCTCTTTGCCTCCAAGGACAAAGTTCTTTGTCTCCACAGACTCCTAAGTGCACCACTCACTCTTTTTCCCTCATCAATTCTATGATTCACCTCATCTTTCATAGACCCATCCGCTGACACGTCCACTCCCAAAAATCTGAATACGTTCACCTCCTCCCTACTCTCTCCCTCCAATCTGAATTCAATCTTTCATCCCCCTAATCTTTTGTTATCCTCATAACCTTACTCTTTCCTGTATTCACCTTTAATTTTCTTCTTTTGCACACCCTACCAATTCATCCACCAATCTCTGCAACTTCTCTTCAGAATCTCCCAAAGACACAGTGTTTATCAGCAAAGAGCAGCTGTGACAACTCCCACTTTGTGTGTGATTTTTTTATCTTTTAACTTTCCCCCCTCTTGCCAAGACCCCGCATTTACTTCTCTTACAACCCCATCTATAAATATATTTAAAAAACCACGGTGACATCCACATCCTTGTCTAAGGCCCTATTTTACTGGGAAAAAATTTCCCTCTTTCCTACATACCTAACTTGAGCCTCACTATCCTCGTAAAAACTCTTCACTGCTTTCAGTAACCTACCCCTACACCCCTACACTTGCAACATTGCCACATTGCCCCCCTATCCACCCTGTCCATACCCTTTTCCAAATCCATAAAAAGCCACAAAGACCTCCCTTTAGCCTTATCTAAATTTCTGTTCACATTATATGTTTCACTGGGAAACCACCCGGTCCACACACCCCCTACCTTTCCTAAAGCCTCCTTGTTCATCTGCTATCCTATTCTCCGTCTTACTCTTAATTCTTTCAATTATAACTCTACCATACACTTTAACCAGGTACACTCAACAGACTTATCCCCCTATAATTTTTGCACTCCTTTTATCCCCTTTGCCTTTATACAAAGGAACTATGCATGCTCTCTGCCAATCCTAGGTACCTTACCCTCTTCCATACATTTATTAAATAATTGCACCAACCACTCCAAAACTATATTCCCCCCCACCTGCTTTTAACATTTCTATCTTTATCCCATCAATCCCGGCTGCCTTACCCCCTTTCATTTTACCTACTGCCTCACGAACTTCCCCCCACTCACAACTGGCTCTTCCTCACTCCTACAAGATGTTATTCCCTTCCCCTTAACGAAACACAGTTTCCCTACTTCATAAAACATTTAACAATTCTCAAATATTCCTTCCTCTTCCCAATACCCAAAAACTCCCTTTTAATAACTCTCCTCTCCTTTTTTTAACTGAAAAATCTTTGTTCTCTAGGCTTTTTTAAACTTTTAATCTCACCCAAAAAACTTTTTCTTATTTTCAACAAAATTTGTTGAAAACATCTCCCCCACTCTTCATTTGCCTTTTTTTTACATTGCTTCACCACTCTTTAACCTCCTTTTTTCTCCATATACCTTCCCCCTTGCATCATTCTATTTGTAAAAAACTTTCAAATGCTAACTTTTTCCCCCTTTTATACTCTTTTACATCTCATTCCCCAAATCGCTCTCTTCCCTCCTCACCCACTTTCCCCGTAACCCCAATTTGCTGAACACTCAAAAACTACATTTTTAAAACCCACCCCTACCCTTTACCCCATTGCCTATGCCCCATAGCCCCTCACCTCCAATAGCGTTTATATCTTACCCTAACTGCCTCCTCTTTTTATTTTAAACCTTCACCCTCTCTTTCCCGATGTTCTATTCTCCTTGTATCCATCTTTTTCCTTTTTCTCTAGGTAGCTCAAATAGAAATGATCTGATATATCTGTGGCCCCCCCTATAAACATTCATCCTAAGTCTATCAACATCTTTTATCACCCCAAAACATAACCAACAAAATCTGTCATTTTTCCCACATCATATCGTGTAACTTATTTATCCCCCTTTTTTTTAAAATATGTATTTCCTATAACTAAACCCCTTTCATACAAAGTTTAACAAAGGGCTCCCATTACATTTACCCTGGGACCCCAAAAAATTACCACCACCCCCTCTAAAAGTTTTTCCACTTAGATTCAAGTCCCCTACCCAATTTAAAACTCTCATTGGTTAAAGGCTCCTATACATTCACTTAACATCTCCCAAAATCTCTCCCCCTCTGCATTCCTCCTTCTCCAGGTCATACACCTTATTAGACCCCTTCCCATCCAAACCTTACTTTAAACCCCATAATTCTTTAATTTAACATTCATATTCCTTTTCCCTTTCCATAACTGATCATTTAACATTACTGCTACCCCTTCTTTGCCTAACTCTCTCAGATCCAGTTTAATCCATTTTATTCCCCCAAACTGAAACTCTCCAACCCCCTCAGCTTTTTGCTAGGGCCAGAAACCAACTTCTTTCCCTTCTAACCAGCATCTCTGTTCTTTCACCGCACTTAAAAAATTCAACGCAAAATTTAAGAACCCCAGTTTAAAAGTTTTCTCTTCCACCTTTTTAAAAATTGTATACAGGAGAAGGGGTTACTACACCCATGATATCCCGGAAAATCTATTTAAATCGGAC